CCCGACATGGGGATTACCTAGTGGGTTTAGGACTGAATTGGCCAAGGAGCTGAAGTTAACTCTTCCTCTTCCCTGAGGAAACATGAATACTATGATCTGCTCCTTGGGTCTTTCTCATTGGAGGCTGCTGAGGTGAGAGGAGACCCTCTTGGAGAAGGCTGAGATTTTTTTCTAAGCTGTTGGGGTAGATTTCAAAAGGTACAATTCAGTGACCAGAATGTGTGCTAAATAAGTAGACCTGTCCTTTCTCGTCCACTTTGACTATCCATGATTATGATATGTGTGGTCCTGTGGCTGAAATTATGGTGATTTTTTCAAAAATTCTAGTGTCAAAATTTTGCCTTGACAGTACATCTGTAGCTACTAATAATGCTGTTTTGGGCTGACTCAGTTGCTTTGAAAGTGCACGGCTGTGTTATAAGTAAATGAGAGGCAACCAATTATCTATAAAGTAATGGCAAGCACAGAGGAGAGTTTGATGAATTACAAACGAACTCTGCTGACACAGCAGGGTGTGGAGACCTGCTCTGCTCTGACTTTCTATCAGAGTTAGGGGTGATGCTTGCATATTTTACAACACACCCCACCCAATTACAACATGGGGTGGGAGTGGGGACAGGAGGTGATAATAAACAAGGGTGTGCCGCGGCAGCAAACCCAAGTACTGAGTACCTAGAGAAAAATACTATGTTCCAGGAAGGATGCAAGGTTAGATAAGAAACGCAGATCCACCGTCATCTAATATGATTTATAACATACACTAAAAGAGCCATCACAAAACCCCTACCCAGGAACTCAGCCCAGTGGGGGGAGGCAATACCCCTACCCAGGAACTCAGCCCAACAGGGGGAGGCAATGCATAAATTCACCTAAGCAGAAGGCAAATGCTGAATTCCTGGAACCAAACAAAGGATGGCTTCAAGAGGCAGAGGAAACGGTTTCTAGTTTGGGAATGTTTATCTCTGTGGTCCTCTGGCAGTCTTGTCCATGCTGAGGATTAATCTGGGTTTATGCATAAAGAAGCTACAGAACAAGGTCGATTACTTACTGAGGGGTTGCTAGGTACTCCCCTACCAAGCATTCAGCAGAGAGCAGCTCTTTGCCTATTACAGTCCCGTTTCCTAGATAGGGCATCTCTGGGCATGAGGCTGTACATTCTTCTCGGCACTACGCTGGTTGTTAAGGTAGACGAATGGCAAACAGATCCAATCGGCCCAGAGCCTGAGCGTGCCTGTGGGGTGTGGTGCAGGGCTTCCTGCCTGGAGTCCTTCATCTAGGTACCAGACAGCGGCCTCGCATCCCCAGGGAAGCTCGCTCTGGCCTCCCGCGTGCTTTTCCCTGTGCCGGGGGAGAGACACGGGGAGAATTAGCTTAGGGGCTGGAGCAGGTCTGGAGTCAGCTTGGTCAGGTTTTGGATTCTGACCTCTACTGCTGTTTTCCAAAGAGAGGTATCGTTGGCCTGTTTAAGATCATTTTAGCTGATCTACACTGAATCCCTCTGTAGGTAATTCTCTTTTAATCCTTTTGAATAGGGCAAATGGAGAGCCTTGGTTTGGTGCCAACCTCTCTAAGGATGACCAGCAACCTCAGGGCTGATAGCAACAGGCAAGCAACTATGCAGAGCTGGAATTCATCTGCACTGTTTTTCTTTCATTTCTTTTTTTTTATGCTTAACTTCTAATAATAAGTAATACTTGTTTCTCATTGAGGCTAAGATATAAGGTTTAAGATAACCTGAAATTTTAAAGGTGGATCTCACAAAGATGAGAAAAATCATGACAAAATGGGAATAAATGAAATTTGTGCAACACACTGCCCACGCTCAAGGCCATGTGACGTAGGCACGCGGTCAACTGGTGGAGAAAAGAGGGCAGGAGTCGGCAGGTCTGGTAGTCAGCGGGTGCGAGCTCAGCCCACTGCAGCCTGGCTGTCTGCTGCTGGGGAGGCAGGTGCTGGAGGGTGATGAACAGGATGACGGCGAGGAAGCCCAGCAGGGGAGGCACATCCTCGCCGAAGGGCCGGCGAGGCCAGTAGAGCGGGTGAAGAGGCTGAAGAGACGATTTGGAAGGTACAGAGGGGCTGGGATAGGGTGGCGGTGCTGGCTGGACACACGGGCTCTTCCAAGCAAAAGGTGGGTGGTGAGCGACGAAGGGAAGGGCTTTCGGGGTGGAACTAGGTTCAGGTCTGAGCTCTACCCCTTACTCGCCGTTTGCCTTAGAGTAACACTTAAATCACTGAGTGAGTCTCAGTTTTGTCATCACCTGCAAGATGGGAAAATAACAGAACCCAGGTCTTGTAAATTCTCGGTAACGTGGGCGATAGTCATCGGCCCCGGGGCTGAGCCCCGTTGTATCTGCCTGTGTGTGTGCTGTGAAGCGTGCAGCTGTGCACAGTGAATGACATCAGAGCCTTTGAAGTGGCTCTGCCCGACACTGACTGGACTTGCTGCTGAGGGTATACTCAGGAGAGCTTGGAGAGGCCAAGTTTATCTGAATTTCAGATAAATACTGAATACCGTTTTATTCAGTACCTAAGTACCTAAGTCTAGGTACGTCCATATCTTGCATGACAGCCCTATTTGTTAACCAACTTCAGAAAGTTCCACGAACCCCTTAACATTGTGTAAACATTCGGTGGATAGGTGCACTTTGAAAAGGGAGGAGAGTGGGTATCAAAGCTCCACGTGGACCAACTCCATGATCAGGGTTCCTAGATGAATGTTTCCTTTCCCCTTTGTCTCTAAAGAGAACTATATACAGTCCCTGTCTCACACTACAGGTGGTGAGGATGCTCTTGGTGAAATCTTAGGGCCCTTGTTTAAGTCCCTCACCGCCACGTTACTAGCTGTGTGCTCACTGGCCGCATTATCCCTCCTGTTCTCATTCGCCACGTCTGACTGCTGGGAGAACTGAAGGTGATTTGTTTCGTCTGTAGCAAAAGACCCTTAAAGAGATAGGTTAATGTTAGTTCATTGAGAAATGCACAGGCTCTCTGGCAACAGTCTGTGTGACAAGTTAAGGTGGATATCTTTCCGGCAAGACTTATGAGGCAAGTGGATTCACCTGGCAGACAGGGGAGTTAGGCCTCAAGGCAAGACAGAAGCAAAAACTGACAAAGCAGAGCATACAGGAAACTTGGGTAAGAAGTTTACGTTCTCTAAACAGTCTAGAAAACACTTATAAGATAGAACCCTACAATTCAGCAGGCCTCAGGAACAGCCTGGAGCTTTCCTGCCTCTCCTGCCTCTCCAAGAAACCCAAAAAGAAAAAAATTCAGCCTAGAAAGTTGAGTCTGAAGAATGGTGACCCCATTTGAACAGGACATCCCAAAATGACACACTGGCTTTCAGAAGAGGAATAGAACAGGGTTTGCATTCATGCCCATAGGCCTATGTTCTTAGGTAAACTAGCTAGATCCTAAGGGGAGGTGGAGGAGAGAACGGGAGAGATGAGAAGGTGAACAGTGGTGGAAAAGGTTAAAAATAAAATATCAAAAACAGCTTCTGCTACCACCACGCTATATCCCTTCAGGCAACTGGGTGCAGAGCTGACAAGCCAGTGACATGGGAAAATAAAATAAGCTTTCTAGAATGCAAGGGCCTGAGCACACAGCATACGTGAACAGTAATGGAGGGGGAGGTAGTTGACACGGGGTCTTTAAAGAGGAGGTGGGGAGAGAAAGACCAAGAAATGCACATATATTTTAAACTCACCAAAATAGACTTACATTTCCAAATGAAAACATAATACTACAACCAATGTGTTTTCTAGCTAAAAGTCATAACTACCAAGTGGTTGATACAATTTGACATAATTCAGCTGCTACCAGTATTTGTTCACTAATTGCATTTTTCATTTGTATCTGATCTACTTCAGCTGCTTATAACATAAACACATTCACACAAGACCAGATGAAGCAGACGATTTTAGAAAAGAAAAGCAATTTAGAGAGGAGGCTCTTTATCTGGGGTCCATAATTCCTAAGGAGGTTTATTAACAGGGGTGCCAGATAAAATACAGGACCCAGATACATTTGAATTTCAGAAAACGAATAATTTTTTTTACTCAAGGTAGGCCCCAAGATTTCACGGGCACACTATTTATTAAGGCATTTCAGAAGATGCACGAGTCCCTTGACATTGTGTAAAAATGTGGAAAGGAGGTTGGCTATAGCTTTCTACCAGAGTCTTAAATCTGTGATCTCCCGATAGTAAAACATCATTAACGGAAAGAGAGAATTCTCTTTGCCTGGCCTGAGCTTCCCGGCAGCCAAAGCCAAGGGGCCAGTTTACCGAACAGCAGCAGGAGAGGAGGCCCGAGCGCAGGGAGAGCCTGCCCGGCTGTGGCGGAGCTGTTTCAGGGCTCCCCGCAGACTGACGGGAGTCTTGAGAGTTGAGCCTGAGGGCAGTGGGACTCCCTGGAAGGGTTTTGATGTTTTAAAGGATCGGGTTTGCCTTCCTTACAAACTACCTCCAGCTGCTCTGTGGAGATTGGCTTGCAGAGGGGCAGGAATGGAGAGGACAGAGGGGACAAGGGCCTGGGGTGGGCTGGAAGGAAGGGAACAGACCGGAGCGGTATGTAGAAGGTGATGGGGAGCCGGGAAGAGAGACCCAGAGGTTGGACCAAGTGCCTCAAGGGTCAGGGTCCTCTCCACTCGGGCTTCAATGTTTGTGCAACCACCACTGCAGAAACTGGGTGCGGCTGCTTTTCTGCATCCTCATTATTTCTTTTCGGTACGCGGGCCTCTCACTGTTGTGGCCTCTCCCGTTGTGGAGCACAGGCTCTGGACGCGCAAGCTCAGTGGCCATGGCTCACTGGCCCAGCCGCTCCGCGGCATGTGGGATCCTCCCGGACCGGGGCACGAACCCGCGTCCCCTGCATCGGCAGGCAGACTCTCAACCACTGCGCCACCAGGGAAGCCCAATCCTCATTATTTCTTGAGTGAGGCTCTTGCGGGGGGTGGGGTTTTGAGCGATGATAAAGTAAACGTACAGTCTTTACCTGCGTCACTGAAAGTAGCCCCGCAGCGCCGCGGCTTCGGCTGCCATCTCCTCCTCCGATCTCCACAAGGCTGGGGAGTCCTCCTTCTCTTTGTCATGTGTCTGGAGCTTTGGAGAAGAAAACTAGGCTCATTAATAGGCCCTTGGGATCTCCGTGAACAAGTCTTGGGGGAGCGGCCGAACAGCATTCGCAAATCAGAGGCCGGGGGCGCGCGTGTCTTTCCTTTCATCGTATTAGTTGCCAGAATTTGAAAATGGGGAGGTTTTGTGTACAAATCCACATTTCCAGCTTCTGTAATACAATAACTAGATTAGGCTGCTACATGTGGTCCCTTCACTGCCTTGTAATTATCTGCTGAGGTTGGCAGTGGGCGTCACCGACGGGGGACATTCTGCATTTACCAAAACCCTCACCACTCTCAAACATCGCGCTTGCCCAGTATCATCCATTCGTTTTAATTCCCAGACGCTGAAGGCATTACGTTTGCCACCTACCCACAGTCGTTCCCCAAGCTGGCCTGGGGCTTACGTCCTCTTCTCTTTGGCCTAGCCTCTGTTATATGAGCTCTGAGCAGTTTTGCTCAGCGAGCCAAAACAGCCCGGGCTAATTTATGAGAATAATGAATAGAAGGGCCACGAGTACTGAGTAAGAAATAAAAGAGTACATGCATTAAAAGAGGCTTCAAGCTGGCAAATAGTAAAAAACAAAGAAAAACTAAATAAAAAATTAAATGAGGAAGCATCAAAAAATAACAGTTGGTCTTAGACAAAGGAGCCCTTTTAAAATCCTCTTCAGACGCCCATATTTATTTAAAAAACATTTGTATATGTCTCCGATTTACATATTGAGTGAATCAAATTTCAATTCTATCAGAGAGAGAGAGAGGGTGTTGTCAGAACTCTCTTCCTTAGAAGAGGTCAGTTTTTCACCTTAGTCTCCTATTGCAATTTAGTTTTATTAACTGAATTTGTTATTCCTGTGCATGGCTCTACACACTGTAAAATGCTGAGGGTATAAATTCTTACAGGAGGCACAATGTACTATTTCGTGTTAAGTCATTTAGGGAGATTGAGGCAAACTAATAGCACCAATGATAACTAGTATTCATGATGTAAAGGGAGGTTTCTTCTTCACGTATTATTTCCTTGTGCATCATTTTGTTTAATCCTTACTATAGTCCACACACAAGGCAGGCACTGCTTCACTCCTCACCAAGGAAGAAATTGAGTTCCGAGGAAGTTCATTCACCTATTGGAGATCACCCAGCAAGGAGCAGTAATGCCAGGGGTGTCCCCAGCAAATTTTGCCTTTTAGTCTATCCTGGAGGAAGTGCAGTGCCACCGAAGAGTGAACAGCTCCGCAGAACCTGCTGCAGCTCACCGGGTACCGTCACCCAAAAGCCAGATCCTTTGACAAAGGAGCCTGCTGACTCAGGAAAAAAAGCCTCACGACTAAAATAGTGGAGTTTGCTATTTCAGGCCCAACTCATTCTCACTCTAACCCAGAGACAACCCCCGCCCCCCACCCTGGCAGCTTGCAGCCGATGGAGAAATGTCCCCATTACTTCAGAGCAAACTTTGATACAGAAGGCAAAACAGTGAGGGAACAAAGATCGCCTGGCCCTCCAGCTGAGCACTATTTCTACTCGGCGTAAGTTTGAGCCTAAATGAGTTTCATTAGCATATAACCAGGACACAAACATGTCATGGATCTTCCGCTCAGAATCTGGCTGCCAGCACGCTGGTTTTACGTTTTGCCACATAGATTTAATTCTCCTTAGTGGAAGAAAACCACATTAAAAAGTCATTTCCCTCCTTGCAGAAGCAGATATGACGCAATGGCTACAGGCGAGGCAAACGGGATTGCGATTTTTCTACTCAGGAACTGATTTTCATTTTGATACTAGCTTTAGGTCTGTTATAAATCCATCTTGTAACAATTCAATAGGATGACAAGGAACGATGCAAAGCCCAGGCAATATGGCCTTCCCACTTCTGGTGTTGAAATCCAGCATTAAGTGGTCTCATCACACAGATCGTACCAGATGAACGCAAATAATTTAGGGCCTGCAAACGTTAATGCCTCTTCGGTTATTAAGCTCCCGTCTGCTATTGTCATATGCCTTACAGATGGCAACGTTGTGCCAATGCTTATAAGTTGTCTATGGAAAACAGGAAATAAGTAAAACAAAAACTAATTGTATTTGCAAAGCTCTGTTGTATATGGTTTTTAAAACTTAGGGGTTTCCCTCCTAAAAGCCCCAGATGGAAGCGTGTAGCTTTCCTTAGAACGGCCGTGCTCAACCGCGGCTGCCCACTGCAATCACATAGAGAACTTTAAAAACTACAGACGCCTGGCTCCGCCCCAGGGATTCTGATTTAATTGGTCTGGGGGCAGCCTGGGTGTGGGGATTCTTTTCAAACTTCTCAGGCACTTGAGAAGCAGTGCATTTGAGAGAAGATTGTGTGTATAGACAGAGGCCATACACGTAACAGAAATGATACCTTTGCCTTTAAACCCGTTGCCTACGACTCAGTCGACAGTATGGAGGCTTTCCTTTGCAAACCCTGCTCTGGAACTGTAAAAAGGGAGTAGTAAGAGGTGTGATTAGTGATGTGCGTGACACGTAGTAAGAGGTGCTGAGGGTTTGCTGCTGCTGCTACCATGACTATTATTATCATGACTATTGTTATTATTATTATATGCTGGATATCCTGTCCCCTGACAGTGACCAATGACCAACCCACAGAGGTTGTTTCCAGGGGTAAAAGTACCTTTACCATCTTCATGGTTTCCCAGTGACCTTTATCTTTTGGACCTTAACTACTGTGTGAAAGGATTAACAGCCGTGATCAGGATTCAAACCAAACCAAACTAATCTAATGAGACATTCAAGTCTGAGGAGGAAATTTAGCTCCTTCAGCCCTAAAATACCAGCAATAATTCCTACCTCTCAGAGTTGTTGTAAGAAGTGACTGAAGTGTTACTGGAGGCTCCTGACAGGTAAAGGTTAAGGTCCTTAAAGTAAAAAGCATGTGGTGAAGGTCAAATGCAGTCAGAATTACCCTGGGAGCACAGCTGCCAGATTTAGCAAATAAAAATACAGGGCACTCAGTTAATTTGTTTTACTATATCTCATGCAGTATTGGGGACATACGTATACTAAAAAAATATTCATCGTTTATCTGAAATGCAAATGTAACTGGACATCCTGTATCTTATCTGGCAACTCAGTCTCGGAGACCCCTCAGGAAGGGACCATAGGAAGTGCCTGGTTTTATTTCGGTTGTTTCCAAAACCACTTAGCTGTGAATCCTGGAGAAGATGGAGGAGACTGTCCGAAGGAAGGTCAAATTCAAGGCTAGCATTTTATGCATTCTGGGGCTTATTATTATTTTTGCATGAAATGCAGAGGAACTCATTAGCACTGTTTAAAATCCACAGCTCGTCTGTTCTGAGATGCACAGGTTTTCCCATTGTAACATCTCTGAAATCAAAGCATGTCCTACAATCAATGGTGTGTCATAATTTAATTGGCAGTGGTTTTCTTTCTTAGTAGTACATAAAATAACAGTAGTTCTTTCCACTAGGGTGTCTGGGATTCACTGCTGTATAGTTCTCCATCTCTTTCCTCCCTGCTGTGAGGCCACAGAAGTTAAATCATGAATATGCTCAGCACCAAGGCTGATGTAACGTCTATTCCTTCCCTTCTCCTTATGCAACAGCAAGAGTTGAAACTCTTTTCAGAAGCATGGTTCTTTGAGGAAGGCTCATGCCAAAGTTACAAAGTTTGCAGAAAGTCGAACCAAAGTCTTTATTCACATTCCATAGAGGGAAGTCTGTGATGGCTCCTCGAAGTGAATTCTATTTCAGTACAGTTTTGAAAAGAGATTAAAAAAAAAACCTGTATCTGCAGTCTTCCTGCTTTATCTGCCTGAAATGATTTTGGGGGAAGGTAGTGTTAACAGGATTTCTGATTGAAGTACTGATACGTGTCGATTTTGACACTGTGCTACTTCCTGTGCATTGAGTGTGTTCTCACGAGGCATGTGGGGCAATGATTAATTCCCTGAAGTAATGCTCAAACTGCCTTGACTATTGACATTTTTATAGCTCTGTAATGGAATACAGTGGGAGGAATGATTCACAATAATTTAAACGTTTTTTTCAGAATTTAGAATTAACCTGTAGTAAAATGCCAAATTATCTTCCAAGAGCAGAAAAACAATTTAAAGCCACTTCTCAAAGAAGACGATGGCTGAGTATAAACTTGGGTGGCGGTCTAAAATCCATCAATATCTTTCATTGTTTAGTTTTGTAAAACAATATGAAGAACGGAGAGTTTAAACCATTTCTTACAGGTTGATGGTTCTGCTCAGACAGGTGTTTACATAAAGTATTACAAGGAAAATAATTTCAATGGGAAGTATATCCTTAATTTTTTTAGATCTGACCCTCTGTTACTGCTTTGAATTTAGCCAACAAGCCTTTGTTGAGCACATGATATACTCCAGGCACCGTTCTAGCTCTTATGAAAGCTATAAAGATGAATAAGACAAAAACCTTTGCCTTCTGGGGTCTCACCACCCAACAGGGCAGACAGATTCATACACACATCATTTAGTCCAAGTCAGTATGATATAAATACTGGACTAGAAGTTCTATCATAGTGCTCTCAGGATATCTGGGGGAGACAATAATTCTTACTGGCGTAGGGTCTGCGGTTGACTTTAAAAAATCAGGATTTGCACTGGCTTCAAAGATGGTGATGGGATTTTAAGGACAGCGTTGTTCTCGGCAATGGGAACAGCTTCAGCAAACACATGAGGTATCTATCTGCCAGCTCTCCTGTAACCTGTGCCCATCATCAGCTTCACCCTCCTCTGGCACTACTCTTTCTTTCATGACGAATGCTGCCCTGGCATCCTAGCCATGCCTGCCCACCTATCAGAGTTGCTGAGAGAGCTGAAACTCAGTTGCCATTTTGAGAAGCTTTAACATTCCATTGCTTAAAGAAGGGTCCCACACCCCAGCGGCCCAAAAGATGGCCTCCAGTTCTACAGTTCAAAACTGCAGAAAGTTTTGAACCCTATTGAGAAAGATATTC